TTATACTTATACTTATACTTATACTTATACTTATACTTATACTTATACTTACACATAGTTTTACTTATATTTTTAATGAAACTTTTACCTATGCATGCTTCCTCAAAGCCCTATATATCTTTCATATGAATATTCATAAATAAACTTAAGCTTCTCCTAAATTTATACAGATTCATATTCATATTTATATTATGGAAAGAATAATTTCCAGTCATCCTTGAGGGCTTTTCATTGCGCAGTTTATTTGTGTAAAGTCCTTTCACTTTTCGGCACTATTTGGATTCTCATTCCTGCTTGAGGCATCCCCGTGAATTTCAAAAAGACGGAACATTTGCTTGGCTTCCCATAGTTGGAGTTACACTAACTAACATTTTGGGGCTAAGACCGAAAATTAGCACACGTGTGCAGACTGCTCAGCCGACTCAATGATAAAGCCACTAAGCCAAAGGTATGCGACCCATGGGCAATTGTACACACATATATTTGTATTTGTATATATATATGCCCACATGCATATCGGGTATTTGGTATATATGCCCATCAATATCCCACCCACAGCCCTTCGGCGAGCTGCCTGTTTATTTAGCCACAGCTGGCAGCCCGATGACGACGAAGACTTATCAATGGGTCCCATCTGTGTTAATGATGCCATGGCGCTCTGATAACCGTTAGGTATCAAGCCGTACCGGCACGTGTGCACTGTCTGCCAGTCCGTGTGCGTTAGTGTGCTTGTGTGTGTGCTAGGTGTGGGGTGTGGCAGTCATTTCGAATGCCCCGACTTCCCCACTGGGTGTTTGTATAATATCAGCTGTGATAAAACCTTTGGTAAACTTGAGTCCATCGGGCAGTCAATCGTCAGCTTTGCTACAAAGTCGTTAACCCCTTTTGGTAGGTAATGCTGCATGATTGATTTATCGCCTGGGTCGGCCAGGGTCCATTCGCGAGCTGCTGCAGTTCACAAGGGGCCCATAACTTAATTGACTCGAGTGCGAGTGGGGGCTCTGAACGGTGTTTGCTGAATCAAATCATTTCACTATTTTCATATTGATCGATGGGTTTTATGAGCCCTGAAAATACCTTTAATAATGACTCCAATTTTTATGTATTTGCTAAAGGGGAGCTTCAACAGAATGTGTTTGTTGTGTGAACTTTTAGGGGCCAATGGAAGATAGCGATTCTAATAAGATAGCACAAACTAGAAGGGGTCGAGCTCTTCAATATCTATTATTTTTCTAGATTTTATGTAGCTTGCATATAGCTAAATAAATATATATAGCTCGGATATGACTATTGTTAGATTCGATTCATATATCGATCATCTATAATTATTTTTATCAACTCTGTTTCTCTATTTTAGCTATCGTCTATCGACTATCGCCTATTAAACATAGAAAATTATTTCGATTAACCGCAATCGATTATTGATCAACATATATTATCGTTCGATTATCAATTATTAATTCCATTAATCGACTATCGATACATTGCTGTTACACGCCTGGGCTCTCAGGGCACAGCTTGTACTCGAACATAAATACTCGAGTGTGGTGCATTGGAACATGTGTTGCGCGGCGCCATGTAGCATACACAGCATACATATAGTGTCGAGGCTAACCTTCTCCTTCTGCGCTTCCTCCAGCTCATCGGTCGCCCCCGTTTGTAGGACGCTTGGGGCAATCTGAAGTGCGGCACTTCAATTCCAATTCGACAGCAGCCAATTGCAAATCGCAGATGAGACAAGAACAAGGCTCGGGGGCGCACTCCAAATGGCATTTTTGTTTTGAAGATGTCCTGGCTGTTGTTTCTGTTGTTGCTCCTGTTGTCGCCTGTTTTTGTCAGCTTGCCTTATCCACTTGGGACACGAGGCAGCTGCAGCAAGGGGCTCGCTACGGGGCATAAACTGACATACAGCGCAGCTTTTGTTGCTGTTGCTGGCGCTGCTCCAAAGCCCCTTCACATATCCTGTGCAGAAATTGAAAAACTACTAGAGCTAACTTCAATTGAGACGTGCTGCTCTGGACTTGTCCGAGCCACGGAACGGACACTATGATTGAAATTCCGAGCACTGCTCGAGGGGCCGTGCCCCGCCTGCCCAAGGGAACAATCCGATAAACACTTGAATACAAAACCATTTGATGAATGGACTCCTGTAGGCTCTCGATGCTCGCATTACAACTAATTACGAGGACGAGGCACAAAGGGACTGCGGCGCAACGAAATCAATATCGAAATTGTGCGCTACGCCTTTCAGTGAGCCCATTTTGCCATTTCGTTGGCCATATGCTCGAGCCGGGTCGTGTTAGTCTTAATTACAGATGAAGATGCGCTTCGATAAGGCCACAGAGCGAACGGGGAGGCTGTGCGCCGCCAAAGGAAAACAAATAAATATTTACAGTGCGCACTCGCATTTAATGACCCTGCGGTCGGGTCGACTAGCTGACCACAACCCCGTCGATAGAAGTCGCTGCGGCATATGGCGCTGAAATATGAGTCGCTCACATTTTGTTTCTCTCTTTTTTTTGGTGGTTGCCGCGTGAGTTGCAATGCACAGCCGGTAGATCAGCTGGCCCAGAAGATGCGACCATCATGAGATCCTTGGCTAAGTTAGAGAATGTCCATTACAGCTGACATTTTGCGCAGCTCGGAATGAAAGTGAATGCATAGCTCAATTTGGGGTTGGCTCCTGAAATGTTATACCTTGTGGCTAAACATTAATTGTGGCCAGGTAATCGTACAGTTAATGGGCAGGCGCCATCTTCGACTAAGCGAATCTAACATTTTAAGCTAGGAGTTGCACTTGGGGCACACAGATGACAAATTGGCTTCTATAGAATATACAATGCCTCAAAAAATTACTGGCACTCCAGTAATTTCCAAGTTTATATATACTCGTTAACTAACTGAAGAGAGAAAGATATAGAGAGAGAGAAAGAGAGAGAGAATATGTGTCTTTCCTTCTGTATCTTCTGCAGCTGCAAGCTGGAAACTGCAAGGGCAAAACGAAGAAGCTTGAACTTCTACAGATTTTAGTGCATAGCGCAGAAATACAGTTATTTGACTGTAGACCCGTTCTCAACATCAACCAAGTTGTACAAGTGCCGTCTTGACTATTTGTAGAAACCATTTTCTAAGACTAAGACTCATCAGATTTTTTTAGTTCTTTACTTGTTAACTGGTCCTTCCGATGAAAATATTGATTTTCGTATGAACTGAAATGTTTTTGGAGCATTAACTAATATTATACAACTACGAATAGTCTAAAAAAATTTTAAAGGCTTATCTCTTCGCAATGCCATGTGAGTGCTTATTGATTCTTTACATAGTATCTGCTAAATAAATTAAAAATATTATATATTATAATTACTGATACGATATGTGTGTGAATATTGATATTATTATTAGCAAAGGCATCAAAGTATTTATCATCAATAATATCAATATTCACACAAATATTTACTGCAACAAAGGCAATACGCTTCAATTGTAGAATCATAAATTCTGCTGCTTTCTTTGGCAGCTTCACATGATTTATTTATATGATTGAACTATTTTCTTTAATAATGCATACTCTAAATACTCCATTTTCTATTCTAGCTCTTCATTCTCTTCTATTCTCTATTTTCTTTAATAATGCATACTCTAAATACTCCATTTTCTATTCTAGCTCTTCACAATGTCACTTAGTTGCGCCTGCTTTGAGCTACAAATTGTCATATTTAGTAGCATCAAAAGTAAAATTTGTGATGTTTACGCTTAGGCTTTGCACATGAAATAAAAGAAACAACATTTTTGTATGGAATAATGGCTCAGCACCTTGGTTAGTACTTGGCTTCCATTATCAGGCACACAGCCAAGGGGCAAGCAAAAAGAAGAGCAGAAAATAAAACATGACGCAATAAAGACGTTTACATTCGACTGAGACATGGGGTTAGGTTTTTGTCAGTTTGGCGCTGGAATTGGAGTTCGAGTTGGAGTCCCTTTCGCAAAGGATGTGCCTGGCTGCAGCTGATTGTTTGTGTTTGTGTACTTTTTATTTACATGCGGCGTAAGTAATTTTTATATTTGCACAATAAATGTGGCGGCCTAATTGAGTTAGAGGCGCTTCGTGTGTGTAAATACAGCAAAAGTGACAAGAATCCTTGAGCAGCTTCGCAGCTTCCCCCGCTTGTTTGTCTTCTCTCTGTCACAGCAAAAGTCGCAAGCCAAACAAAAATCATCTTAAAAGTGTTTCACTAACAACACAAGTAAGCGCAGCAGCATTCAAGTTAACTTGGCAATCACTTAAGCCGCTTATAGCTAATGCACATTCAAACAATTCTAAATTTTCATATGGCAATCAAAAGTAATCCTAATCGCAAAAATACTATTAAAAGTTTTTCATTTAAAATTTTTTTCAGATTTGCCGAATTTGCATTGCAACTTTAAGCCAAACATCACAAAGAGCTAAAGGAGCACTTGAACTTTGATGTATATAAAAAAGAAGATCTAAGCGGAAACAAATTGGCTAATATAGGATTATTTTAATTTCATTCTCGAATCATAACTTCCGAGCATCTAGTCAGTCTCTTAGACATCAAATGTTTCTACCTTCGACTGTTAATGTGTCCATCTATCTTTCTTCTATTGCTCAAAGAGTATGCCAATTGCTTTATGAATGAATTTAATAAAGTATTTTTGTATATCAAGTCCTACTAGAAGCTAAAAGCAGTTCTGCTTAATGTCAACAGGGCAAAGTGACAATTGAAGCTGACCTTGACCAAATACTGGAAACTCTCATTAGCAGAAAAGTTTCTACATTCATATAAAAAGAGCTAAGGAAGCTCAAGGAAATAGAGGCTGAAAGTTAAGTTCGCTAAATGCGAAAGCCCCAAACACGGACAATTACGCTTCCAAAAATATGTGTATTCTCTCAATAAGAGTATTATCAACCGCATCAAATCAGGTGTAGCGCGTCACAGCTATCAATAGCTTTTTTATGATTTATTCTGCAGACAAAGTGCAGTCTAAATGAAGTCACGCTTGGTGCTAGCGAGTGCGCATAAGACGCGCCTATTGCTCCATTTGTTGGCCACTGTGCATCTGGGCTATGCGATCTACTATGAGTACTTCTATGCGCAGCTGCCATCAGTAGCCGTGCAGCTGGGACTGCTGGCGCCCGTGGGTGGCAAGTTCAAGTATCTGACGTTCCTCAACGGGCTGCTGCAGTGCGGCTACTATCTGCTCGCTAGTCTACATGATCTGCTGAGGCTGCAGCGACTGCAGCAGTGGCGAGACTATCTGCTGGCCTGCCTAGTGCTGCCCTTGGCCTTAACTTTGAGCGTGACTTTCTGGACGCTGTGTGCCATCGATGGTGAGTCGATCTATCCGTACTTTTTGGAGCTGATCTATCCGAAGTGGCTCAAGTGGACCATGCACTGCCATGTGGCTGTCTATGCGCTGCTGGAGTTGTGCACCACTGCACATCAATATCCGAAACGAGGCAGGGGACTCGCGGGCTTGACTGCTGCCCTAATCCTTTATCTAATCTGGATATATTTCGTGCTCTTTTACACCGGCATCTGGATCTATCCGTTTTTGGGTGCATTGATGCCGGCGACCAGGCTTTGCTTCTTTGCTGCGATCATACTGCTGGCCTGTGGCTACTACCTGGTCGGCGAGCGCATAAACCAAGTGCTCTGGACGTCCTCCAGGGAGAATGGGCATTAAGGAATGGTTCATAATAAAGCAATTTCCGTTTCTCCAATTCACGTTGACTGCGGGACGACGCGAGCTGGTTGGGTTGGTAACAAATTTGCATAGAAATGCGCCGGAGTCGACTCGCTGCTCGACGGCCAACGGAAATTGAAGGCAATAATAATGACAATTGAGTTGTCAAAATGTTACGAGTGCGAATGCGAGTGCGAGCGCGAGTAAAGGAAAACCAAGCCCAAACCCAAATTCGAAGCGGACTGTGTTGTCCGTGCCAAGGGTTGGCCTGCACTTTTGTCAAGGTTTGAGGTTTGCTTCTTTTCTTTTGCGGTCGTCGAAGCGTGGAATTAACTCAAATCGATTCGCTGCACTCGTCAAGGGACGCAGCAGTGGCGAGGGCTATAAACGTAGAATCCACTTAAGGGTTTTCAGTTCTTCAGTCGTTACACTCGAGTCGACAAAATAAAAGGTTACCGAAAACCTTGACCATGACAAGTGTATTATAATTATAGAGTGAGTGTATTCAAAGTATAATAAAAATTATATAATTTGTTCCCAGCAAGGCAGTGTTGAAAGATCACATTGAATGCTTTAGATTTCTTGTTCAGAACTACAACGGATCCTTCGATGAAATCCTGTCACGAGTGTAGTATTTCCCTTGATTGTTAGGAAAGCTTAAAATAATTGTATGCTAAAAGGACATCCTTATGCATATCACTAGAGTTTTCTATATTCAAAACACAAAATGCAATTTGAGTTTAGTTCTAAGAGTTCTCTTTAGCTGATAAGCGAAATGTGTTGTTCGGCAGTTAGAGCCAGACAAATCGATTAACTAGAACTGATTGTTGCGAATGCATTTCCCATATTAGATGAGAGTAGTGAACCCCTTCTAGTTGTGTGCCAATGCCAATTCGCATAGCCAATCTGCCACAGATTTAGATACATAAATCATTGGCCGGCAGCTGTTTTGGGTCACGTGTAGAGCGAGCGAACAATTTCAGCTGTGAATTGCTGAGAAACAGCTGAAAAGGTTGGCAAGAGCAAATCCTAACATGCGTCACTCAATCCTTTCAGCTGGGTCGAGGCTCGTTTGGTTTTCTACGGAAAATGGAAAATGGAAAATGGTAAATGGAAAACATGCGGCGCACCCACACGCGGCACTTGTGCTAAAAATATTTCAATATTGAATGGGAACAGCTGAAATGCATTCGCACACACACACACAGGGAGAGAAGGTCGCCTGCCTGGGATTTGTTTATGGCAGGCCGGAACCAGTCGAACGTTACCGGAAACGTGTTTCATATGTCAGAGGAAATGCTGTTAGCTGCCTGCGCCTGCGCCTGCTCCTGCGCTCATTTATGAATGGGCATGGGCATGGGCATGGGCCAGGACTCGGGACTGAGAACTCAGCACACTCAGGTACTCGAGCTCAGCATGCAAATGAACCGACAAAAGAAACACTGGGAACGACGGCATCAATTGAGTCATATGGCGCATGGCTGCCGCAGGGGCTGCTGCGAGGATGTCCCAGGATCTGTGTCAGCTGTCGATCGCGCAATCGCTCGACCACTGCCCCTGCCCCTGCCCTCTGGTCCCGGCCACGGCATTGTTCACTTCCACGCACGATTGATTCAATTGGCGTGCTACCCCCTCCTGCAGCTAGCTACATATCAACGAGTCAGCCGCTGCGGTCTGTCTGTCGGCTAGCTTTTATTTTATGTATATTATTTTTGTTTCGATCTCTCCGCCCCTTTCTCAATAATTTGTGCAAATATTTTGTGAGTCGCTGGCAAACAATGGGATGCTCCTTTGTGTCTTCCCGCTCGCCGCACACAAATTGTCAATTTGTCACCCGCGTGAATTGCCGAGCCGTTGGCATGCAGCAAACAGTTACAACAATTGCCCGTTGCGAGTATCTTTCAACCATCGTGCCGGAAAATTGTTTATTTATTGTTATTCATCGCCAACATCGGCCCCGTCCCATCGCCATCGTCGACTCTCACAATGCAATTTCACGTTTAATTGCGTGCGTCTGTTCTGCCAAACGATTTTATAACTCGGAAACTCACAACGGAGCGGGCAAAAAATGCAGGCTGTCTGTTTTACCAATCACACACACACACACACAGGTAACATTTTAATGATACGGCCAAACAATTCCCAGACTTGTTCGAGTGAGCTGTACGCATATAAGTACATAATGATATTTCAAACCCACGAGCTGAGCATCGAGTGCATCAAATATTGTTTCACAGAGTCAACGAAACAGGCCCTTATACATAGAATGAGAATATATTATTAATCAATAATGAGAGCTGCTCATATATAGTCAAAGCTAACTGATGTAGGTATATATATATATATATATATATATATATTACTTGTACTCTGCCATGAGCTATGCATTGAGTACAGCTGTTATTATCCGTCTTTATATAGCTATATTTCTGAGAGCTGTTTGCCTTTGTGCTCGCTAGTTAAACTCTCTGTCCTCTGTCCCTATCCAAAACTAAATTTATATTATATAGACAGTTTCATACTAGCACTAGAGTAATTATATTATATATTTATGTTTGTTGTATAAATTGAAGTCAATTGTCTTGTCCGAAATTTAGTAAGTAAGATGTAAGAATGTTAGATAAAGTCAACTCTCTCTTATTCAAAGCAACTTAATAATAATAATAATAATAATTATTATTACAATAAAAATAGCTAATAAAATCATGTATGGCTTAGTTCACGACTTGAATCAATTTAAAAATTTTTAAAAACATTAAACAAATTTTAAAACGTGAATGAAATAGTCTAATTTTTAATATGAAGCAGTATATAAAGATATATAAACTATATAAATGTTCCTAAAGATGTATAGCATCTAAGCTCATATTTCAGATAACCAATTTGAGCAGAGCAAACTGCAATTTTTAGATAATTGAAATGATCTATAAATTATCATTTTTAAAACTTGTCTGATCATTACTGGAAAATTTGTCATCTGAGTTTTGGCTGACATAACTATCTAGAATCTGGAATATTGATTCGTAGTATCGATTTGCATTCACAGAATTTCCATTTTCTGGCAAATACTTAGCGTGTCTCTAGCTAGGGTTTTTTTGAAATTTCAGACTCAAATAATGTTTGATTAGTAAGCAGACAGTCCACAATCTATCTACATTTAAAAGTTACAGTTAAATATAACGTAAGTATTTTTAATGTTAACTCCAGATGTGATATCTGGAATATTTTTCATTCGATTTTTTGATCACATAATAAAACATTGCAAATGTCAACTGAGCCCAGCCTGTTATAAAATGTAATTCAGATTGATACCATATACCTTTATAAGACTGCGAAATTTGTGAAAATGTTTTCTCAGTGAGCGGAAATTCCACTTCAAAGATATTCAATTCTGTTTTGCTTGAGCCGGATTTGTGAACGTTGCCTGTAATCAGTCTTGAAGCTTCTCCTGCTGTGCCGTCAAAGACAACGATTCCCCCAGTGCACCCGTTGCATCATTTATCGGTCCCCTATCTTCCGTGCCCCCTATTCCCTAGCCCCTAAACGCCCATCGCATTGTCTTCTGTCAGCATTGATTAAACTTTCTGTCTGCGCTTGTCTCGCACGACGCGTCGCTGCTCCCCGTTGCATGCGTGAAATTTCGCCCATGTTGCACAAATTGATGTTGCATGCCGCTGACATTGTTGTTGCTGTTGGCTCTCCTTTTGTTGTTTTACTTGCTGCTTGCTGCTGTGCTGGTGGCATGTTCGCGAAAAGTCATGCGATTTCCTCAGACGTGCGCAATTAGGGTGGGGATAGCCGACCCCTGACAAGACGACCCTCCTTTTAGTCGACCCTCCTCACGGGGGAAACTTGTTTTCGTTTTTCTTCTCTTTTTGTTTTTTGTTTTTTTTTTTTTTAAGTTAATGCAAGCAAAGTATTCAACTGTTGGCGCACACTATTAACCCAATTAATTGCAAAAGTTTAGCAGCTCTGATTAGAATCAGCTGCGAACATGATGACTACAAAGCGTTACGACAACAGCTCCAAACTTTTGCCAACTCATGTTTATGCTTAATCGACTCGATAAGGTATAACAAGACACAAAACAAAAAACAAAAACAAAATAATTTACATCTTAAATTAAGAAAGAGACCAAAAAAGCTTACAATTTGCTAGCCAATTAATTATTATTTTATAATTTATTTTTTATTGCTTTTATTTTCGATGAATGTTTGAATATATTTTTTGATTATATATTTTTGACAAATTGATAAAGTGGATTATAAAACTTAAGGTTGAGCTGTAGAGAAGGTTAACAACTCACTTGAAAATTATGAAGCTATAGCTAAAGGCTGATTTGTTCAGAATGTCGACATTAACTCTCTAGAATACTATATGATTTAATATATGAAATGATATATATGATATAAGCTAGACATAAAATTGTGTATATGATATGAGTGCATGTTTGCAATGCCAAGTGAATGTGATCAGCACCTAGATTAAATGAAATTTCAGCTATGTACAACGGTCTATATATATTCGCGCATTTGCATAGACTATTCAAGCTCCCAGCTGAACAGCAGGATTAAATTTTAAACTATATAATATTTAAATGGAAAGCCAGGCAACGCCATTTGCCCTTGTCGTTGAGCACGTTTGAGAATGATGCGAATTTTTTCGCATACATTTGTGAGCAGAAGAAAAGAAAAATTTGTAAACATTGTCGAGCGGGGATGCTGCAGGGATGGGGAGCGGGAGGAGCGCAGGGCCGGCGGAGTAGGCAACATGTGTTGGCCGTGCGAAGGGATTGGAGCGTGGCGTATCACGATTGCGGCAATCAACAAATGGAGCGGCAACCTCATTAGTCAAAAGGAGGGAACAGAGCGCCGCAAAAAGGAATCACAACACAACCTACAAAGCCCCCCTCGCGCTGCTCAGCTGCCAACCATTTGTACAGCTCCTCCACTTGGTTGTCGGTCTGCAAAGAGGATGTGCGGCATATGTGGCCACATTAGTCAGTGGGTCGCTGAGTGGGTGAGCATGAGCATTCACTTACAGATACAGAAACACACGCACGCACACACACACACACACACACACTCGCGTACAAACGTGCGTGCTCGCGAAATGGTCTCGTTGGGGTAAACGCAGCGGAAATTGTAAATTTTTTGCTCGCAAAACGAAAAAAATAAATCATATGCGTGAAATGTTTGCAATGCCGCCGAATATACCTCCGCGATGGCAGACACAAGCGGCTAACAGGACAGCAGCAGGTGC